TACGACAGCTTCGTGACTGTATGGTTAGCATGGCACGCGGTAGTTGAACTTACTAAAAAAAAAATTGTTAATAAATATACATATGTAGTTCGTTTGACTATTGAACTCAGAAATTAGTAATCTAAAAATGTAAAATTATATTAACAAATTAATTTATTAAAAATATATTCAAGAAATGGGATTACTATAGCAATTTAATTTATTTTTTATAGAGTATCGAAATGTTTTTTCGACTTTTGACTTGTTGACTTGCTCCTTTGCGTGTCTCACTTTTTTTTTGCACTAGCCCACATTCCGTCCCCCATTCGCCCCGTTGACCGCAATTCATTCTGCTTTTTGCTGCTTTGTTGTGACAATTTCTGCGTAAAGCATAATACATACAACATACAGTGGGACAGCCAGCTAAGCCATGACTAAGTTGTTGTTGGCCAAGTTGCTGGGAAGGTTACAAAAACTTATTTCGAGTGCCCGGTCTCCAAATGGTTTTTTAATAACGGGCCTTGACGATGGGGCGCGGTACAAAAATTATTCACTTACAGATAATAGGATTGGATTTGGATTGTTTTGGGCTTAGATAAAAAAAAAACACCCTGCTACGAGCTTCAAATTGGCAACTCTTGTAAAAGCTCATTATTGTAACCCAACCCCTTTCTCAGTATTCATTTAAATACCTCTTTTTAAAGTTGTCAACCTTTTGGGACTCCCCTTTTTGTTTCAAACTATCAAGATAATCGTGTTTTTCCATATAAATCTCTTCATCTGTATCTTTGTCTTAATCAAGGTTTAACGAAACGTATTATACTTTAAATTTAAATACTGTTGCCTATTTTTAGACAAACAGTTTGCATACTAATTTGTAATAAATGCAAATAAAATTCACTTTTCCTGCTCCACATTTGTATATCTTCTTTCAGTGAATATTTTTATAAATTCGGCATAATTTGTACCGAGTTTTTAGAGGGGTGAATCCCCCCGTTCATTAGGTAGTCGGAGTCCCTTATTAGCCATTCAAACCACTTCGTGTTGTTGGCTTTCTTTCGCCCATTCCCATTTCCATCCGTCTCTGCCCGGCAACATTTATCAACATTTTTACCCCGAACAAGTTATGTATTAGATCATTATCCGCATTTGGATTTCTGACGAAATTTCGCATTGTCTGCAACGGCGCAGAAAAACTTCAGCTGCTCGTTGGCTCCGCGTGGCAACTGAAAAGAGTGAAATAAAAATAAAAGTAAAGAGCGGAGAGCCAAGAAAAAGTTCAGCTCGACGAGCCCTCGAAATACTCGGCCGATAAAAATGCACGAGGTTGTATGTAGTTTGTGTGGTTTACCCGGAGTTTCGGTCCCTCAGACAGCCTGCTACTCATTGTCTGAGTGACTCATGGAACGCCTTGTCCTACCTACGGATACCCTCCAGGTGCACTGAGCGAAAAAGGAATGAAATCAACAAAATGTTGATAACTAATAACAGATTACAAAAACTAGTCCTTCATATTGGGAATCATATTAGTTGGATATTGGGATCATACATTTTAGAATCTTGTCATATAATGTAATTTTTATAGTTTTAAAAAATGAATAATTTATTATTATTTTTTTTTATTATTTCTATAAGATATTCGCAGTGATTTCGAAAAAAAGCCTCTTTTCATATCGTATTCTCTTTTAAGATCTTCTATTTTCTCGGTGTACCTGTCCAAGCGTATCCAGTCCCTCTTGTTAGTCCCGAGTTCGGTGGTTTATCTGCCGTTTCAGTTTTGTATTTCCATTGAAAAATTTTGTTACGGGCTGCCGCTGTCTCATGCGGGTCTCTTGGAATCTGAAGTTGAATCTTGAGTTCAAGTCACTCTTTTTGTATTTCATCATAGTCGTAAATATACAGCAAAGGTTGCCGGAGTCGCTGAGTCTCTCGGTTAGGGGGAAATATAATAATTATCTGCGGTTAAATGCGAACGATCGTGTCATACGTTAGCCAGAATGTATTGATTACTCACTCGATTAAATCGTATGATTTGAATGCGATAAATTGCCTGCAGCACGTGCGGCATGGAATCGTGAATAAAAAGTATCTACAATCTACTTATAAAAGTGTGCAAATTACCGTTAGACTGCCGGCACTCAAAGCAAAGGTGAATACAAATTGAATGGCTGGGGCCTTATTTTCCATCGGACACTGTATAATTTGAACGGCAGTGCCCCCACACACATCGTTTTCCAGCTAAAACACTTAATTTGTAATTTTTCGATTCTCGTTAAAAAGCTGCAATTTTTGACTGTTTACCGTTTGTGGGTCGCATTTCCGGGAAATAACTTTAATATTTTCCCCTCTATGTTTGGGAAATGTTGTGAAAATATATGCACTGTTAATTGCTTGGATTGTTCGACAAGGTTTTCTGTACTGTTTGATTAGGCCCAAACATACATGCCCATATGCGGCTCGTTAGGTGATTAACACAAGGGAGTTCCATGGAAATCGTTCAGGGTTGATAGCAGCTGAGGTCGAACAACAGTCGATAACTTTGAAGTGATAAACGTCCGTCTGCAATCATTGTTCCAGCGAATTCCCTGTATGGCCCACCCCAAATCAATTCGAATTCTATACATACACTACTGGCTGGGGAATTCTGCAAAATTCCCTATTGCAATTGCCGCATGATTCGCGGAATTGATAAACATTATTTCCGATTAAGTCCTGGCCCGATGTTCTTCTTTGATTACATATCGCGGCCTTGTTCTTGGTAATTTTTAATTAATCGCTGCGATAAACAATCCTGATTAAGTTCACATAAACAGCGCGGTCTTAATCGTTAGTGCGAAGACTGAATTTATGGTCAAAACAAGGTGTGTTTTATTGGAAAGTGCTTGATTATTTTAAGCGGGTAATTTCACCTAGCTTATGTAGTTAAAAACATCGAAACAGATTGGAAGGAAAACAAAATCATATTTCCTTGAATTTGTTTTTGAGGGTCAACTTCGCATTTCAATTTTTAGAAGGTTTAAAGTTCAGTTCCAGGAATCCCAAAACAGATAATAGCATTGAAAAATGATTAAAGTATGAACACAACATATTTAAGAATATTTCATTTGGAATTCATGCTAATACAGATTAAAATTATTTTTTAAACTTATTTTTTATCAAAAGTTTTTAAAGTGATTCATAAAATCTAAACATTTTTTAATAGATATTCCGAATCGGAAACGGAAACGTCAGATTCAGAAACATGCAATTTCCGATTTTCTAAGAATGTTTTACATTCTTTAAGAATGAAAATTTACACATTCTTTAAAATAATTTTGTACAATTTTTCAGATTTAATCCGAATGTTTTTGGTTTTACCCCAAATTCAAATTCTTAGAATTTACTGGGCTTAGGTTAAACGTAATACATTATTACTAAATATGATTTCATCCGTCAAATTGTCATGATGCTAAATAAATCAAATCAGTCGTTTTGTATAGTTAATAATTATTATAAATACCGAGAATTCAGACTAAATGTGAAAAATATATTAGTTTTTTTTTCGGAACCCATGTCAAAGATTTCTTTTGAAGTACTTGTTCAAAATAAAACCCGACGAAGTTACGATTACAAAAGTCCCAGAAAATCACTAATCAGTTAAATACGGGAATTATTGTTTCCTCCCCGCCATGACTGATCACTATCGATCAATCAGAGGTTTTATTAGCCATTGGGTGATCTAATTATTTCGCCATTGAGGGAAACAACCACCTGCAGAAATCGATTAGGAAACCGCAGTGATATTGCTCATAGTCAGTCCTACACGATTTCGGGTAACTACCAAGAATTCCTACCGCAGACAGATGAGTCAGTATATGTGTAGTATAACCTGTGCTTTTTACCTGTAGCCAAGCTCCTTCTTATATGGCCCAACTTCGGAACTAGATGACGCACCTTGGTGATGTGGGTGTGATAAGGATTTGTCAGTGCGAATTCAATTACTCAGCGGAAACCCACTTCCCCGGTAGTCAAGATGACGTACCCACGAATTAAATCGAATTTATCAGTGAATAATAACAGATTTTCCATGAATTAAGGGTTTCGGTCCTCCAAGTAATAAAGATAAGACAACTTGACCCAGAAGTAAGTAACATGTGATGTGGGGTCTTTGAAGGCGGGGGTACTACGTGCATGACGTGGTGTGTACTTGCTTTCCACATTGATTTCATCAGCTCTCCATGGGCGAGTGTCTAAAAATAGGATGAGCCCATTACAGTTTGCTGTGTATTTGTGCGTATGTACTTGCTCTTCTGGGGGCAATTGATGCGTAGGATTGGAATGCCATTGTGTATCGTCCTCATCTGCATGACGAGATCGCGAGATCCCGAGATCCCTACGCGGGTGAGTCAGTTCGTGGGGGATATATCTCCCAGAAGATCAGCTGGGGGGAGCACCATTAATCAGTAGTTAGACAATAGCATTTAATTGCCCATTTGACCGGCGACCGAGTGAGTCCCTTTTGCCACTGGAGAACTCCGTCCGTCCGTCTAAGTGGGTAATTAATGCACTGGTGAAGCCCCCACCAAGTGGCTCTTTGCTGTAGGTCAAGACATTTCGCACGCCGCCGGAGAAACTGGGCAAAACTCGTTCCACTCGGCTCCCGGCTATTTCTGGATGTTGCGAAATGTTCGGGGAGCAAATATCGAAAATAAGAGATGCTAACTAAGCTAGTCAATAATTAACTGGAAATTAACAGAGGACTCTTCTCGTAACCAATGTAATAATTACCCAAAGTAAACTGTTTAAAATATATATTTTCGGAATACATACACATAAAAAAAGCATGTTCCCGCAAAATCGATATGGTCATGCAAAACCCATATCGTTTTTACATGAAATACCCTTTTCGTCAAATTAAATTTGATCTTAAATAATGTAAAATCGATCTACGTTTTATATCCATTTTTTTTTTGGTGTATATAAGCAAATATTCCTAGAAATATAAAACTAATTCCATATTCCGTTTCATTTTATCATTCCAGGAAGCCACCAGAAAACCCACCCCAAAAAAGACTCTGTTCCACATAGACCTTCCAATGGGTCATCACCTCAGCAAGCCCACTGTACGCGCCAATAGCCAGGATAAGAACGATCTGCCCGCAAGTTCGAGCCCCCGGGAATCCGTAGCACTAGTAGAGACCATCGGTCTGGACGAGGAGGCACTGCAGGTGGAAGAGATCCTCACGGAGACCGCGTCCGCCACATCGTCGTCGGCGGAAGTGCGTCAGATCATAATTAAAATTCAGCTGGCCAAAATGGAGAACGGCAACGTGGGTCAGGTGGAAAACCATCTGGAGGAGGAGGAGCGGCTGGAAGACGCCGCCTCGCTGTCTGCGGACACGCTAAATGCAAATGGGCATTCGCATTCGCAAATTGTGAATGTGACGCTGGAGGGCGGCAATGGGGAAGTGGGCGTGGTGACAAATCGAACTGCTGGCAGTTCAACGGAAGCGCCAAAAACCGAAAGACAGCCCGTGAATAATAACAATTTAGCGGGAAGCGTCGGGGCTGCGATAAGTACGTTACAATTGCACGACGGCAACAGCAATAGCAACAGCAACATCTGCCCCAGTCCCAGCAGCAACATCAGGCCCGGCAGCAACACCAACTACCCCGTGGAAGACGACGACGACAATGACGACTTGGATGAGTCGCTGCTGCGTCGGCGTCGGAGCCACAGCAACATCCACGAGAGCCACGAGGCCGAAGTCGTCGAGTATTGCGAAGTGCTCGAGTCGCTGCCAGTCAGCAATATGTTGTCGGCGGGAACGCAACACACTAGCAAGCAAGGTGGGCAAAAAAGTCAAATAAATACGAGAGAGTTTCTATTAAATTGAAAAGTGCACAGTGGAAAATTAGCAGAATTATGCTTACCTAAAAAAATATTACATTTATTTAATTATTTAAACCATTTATCGGAAATATTGGTGTCGCCCTAATCAGACGTTTTATTCGGTATTGACGTGTGAATTTAAAATTTTGAAATACATTGGATATATTCTAAAGTTTTAGTGCATTAAAAAAAACTAAATTAAAATCTGAAAAATATCAGTTTAAAAAATGTTTAATGTTTAGTAAACAAAAAAACCAATGAATTGAAAATGGTTTCGAAATAACAAAAAACCGCAAAGTTCGTTTACAAAAAGAATTAAATGATACACTAAAAATTCCACTTCCTTTATTTTTTAGTCATCAGCTTAGTGAATAACTCGAAATTATCAAACCATATAAAAACGGAATATTTGTAATATTCAATAGAATTTTCCCACTGTGCAATGTGACAGACAGATTTAAAGAGAATCAAAATTAATCTCATCAAATTTAAAGTGAACCAAATTACTCATAAATTGTTTATTCCCAAAATCAGTTTCCAGAAGCAATAATAGCAACAGTTGCTGCCGGAGTCGCAGCAGTAAGACATTGTCCATGGGCGCCACCACATCCACATCCTCCGCCGGATCCGCATCCGCATCCGCGTCCTCGAAGCGGCGATGCTGCAAGTGCAAGTGCCGCGATGCCTTCCGAGGATTGAGAGACATGCTGCCGAGCAGCAATTCAGTGAGCAGCAAGAAGGACGCCGGAGCGGTGGCGACGGTTCCGAGGAAGTCCCGGACGGCGGATCGCCGCTCCACGCCGCCCACTTTGGGGGCATCGAGTGGCAGTGGGCAGCATCGGATGCAGAGCCAAAGGAAGCGGAATTCCGTGGCTGTTCCGGATGCGAGTCATCACCATCACCAGGTGATAATCCGCATTACTTCGCCACGCTTTGTGGTTGAGTCGCCCAATGGTGGTCGGGTCACGGTGGTCACCGAACCAGCCCCCGCCGCCCCGCAGCCTCCCCAGACTCCGCCCCAGCCACGCCCCCTGATGTCGTCAGGCGCCCCCGCCCCCGGAATACCAGGAGTAATGGGCAACCCCGGAATCGGAATCGGAGCCCGCAACATGACCGTGCACTCGCAAATCGATTTCATGCACTGCCTGGTTCCCGATCTGGAGAAGATCACGAATAGCAGCTTCTACTGGGGCAAGATGGATCGCTACGAGGCGGAGCACCTGCTCGAGGGCAAGCCGGAGGGCACCTTCCTGCTGCGCGACTCCGCCCAGGAGGAGTTCCTTTTCTCGGTCACATTCCGCAAGTACGGCAGGTCACTGCACGCCCGCATTGAGCAGAGCGGTCACAAGTTCAGGTGAGAACTCGTTCTTATCTGGGGTCACTCTCTAGAAATTCCCATTTGATTATAGTGTCGTTCATTAATAGATTAATTCAGGAATGAGCAGGTCAATGGAAGAGAAAATTCTCCGGAATTCAGATTAAATTTTTTTGATGTCATCATTAAAATACTAGTAATAACTGAGGTTACTCAAATTTTCTATTTTCTATTTTAAAATAATATATTCTAAAATAACTGGGCCTTAGTACCTATCATATAATTTACTTAAAACTCAATGGATCATACTGGTTAAGAATATAACAATTTTCCATATTTTATTAGAATTGCTGAGTAATATTCAAAAGTTTTATTTTTCATTGACTAGCAACTTGGCTGCATGCATGTGCAGGTCAATGGAACAGAGAATTCTCCGGAATTTAGATTAAACGTTTTTGATGTCATCATTAAAATGCTAATAATAAATGAGGTTATTAAAATTTTTAATTTTCTATTTTAAAATAATAAATGGCTTTTAAAATAGCTTGGCTTAGTATAATAAAATTAAATTAAAACTCAATGGATCATACTGGTTAAAAATATAAAAAAAACTTCTCTTATTATTATTCTATTTGTTGAGTAAATAGTTTTATTTTTTCTTTGATTAAAAACTAGGTTGGTTACTAATAGAGATTAGAAATATAATGTGAAGACACGTTTTCTAAATATAATCTTATAGCTACCATAAACTGCAAACTAATGACATATTTTTATTTTTACAGCTTCGACTGTCATGATCCGTGTGTGTTTACGGCGCCCACGGTGACCGGACTTCTGGAGCACTACAAGGACCCCGCCTGCGTAATGTTCTTCGAGCCCTGCCTGACGATGCCCCTCCACCGGAGGCAGACCTTCTCCCTGCAGCAGTTGGCCCGCGCCACCATTGTCTCCAATACCAGCTACGACGGGATCAACCAGCTGGAGCTGCCCGGCCGGCTGAAGAGCTACCTCAAGGAGTACCACTACAAGCAGAAGCTGCGCGTCAAGCCCATCGATCAGAACACACCGGTGCCGTATTACGGTGACGTATAGCGGGAGGAGCAGCAGGTGGGCTTCACCTACTACGAGGATGTGGAGAGCGGCAGCGAGGTGGACGAGGACGACGACGACGAGGGTGTCAACATACGGGTCTCCTATGTGCAGCACGCCGAGGTGGTGGCTCAGCTTCAGCAGGCCACAGGACCAGGAACCTCGAGCAGATCCTCCAATCTTCAGGAGCAACTCAGCCGGCTTCCCAATCGCATGGTCGCCGCCTTTGGCCGGATGTCGGCCAATCTGAATTGCTACCAGAAGACTGTATCCACACCAGAGCGCCGCTCCTCCTGATGGAGGAGCAAACCCAAAACCAAAACTCAACCTGAGACAATCCCAGTGCAGCGTGTGCCGCCACCATAAAGTTAAAGATCAAACGGAAACCATAAGCTAAAAAAAGCCCCAAACAACAAAAATCGCTCACTTGCTACAAGACTGTCACGGATCGAAACACTGAAACGTTTACCATCTCAATCTGAGAACAGAATATTATATAGGAAAGTAAATTGTATTGATCTTTTGACTTGTGACCTTCTTGTTAGTAAGCCAGCGAAAGGTAGAATCAAAATCGCATCTAGCTAATTGTACTATAAAATAGGTATTATCACTTAAAAGAAAAACCCTCTCCTACAACCATAAGCATTGCAAAGTATTCTTGTAATATTTCGTTGTATTTATTTTAATGTATGGAATCTAAATTATGTGTAAATATGATCTACAGAATACAGACTAGTTAGTGTAAAACTCTCATTAGCCAAATTTCCAAATGTAATTTTCACCTATTTATAAATATAGTGACCTTCTTCAAAATGACCTAGAAAGGGTGGGAAATTGGTGTTCTCGTAATAACTTGCCTCTTAATTTGTCAAAATGTTTCTTCGTTAGGTACAGTAAACGAATAATTAATATCCTTTTCTCTTATTCCATTGACTCCCATATTCTGTCCCTGAGAAATGAATCCCTGGACCTAGGAGTCATGTTTGACAGTAAATTTATGTTCATTGAACATATTAACTATATTATTCCCAAGGCCTACGCTATGTATGGGTTTGTAAAAAGAAATGCCGCGCAATTTAAAGATCCCTACACGAAGCTAAGCTTATATTCAGCCTTCATTAGGTCAAAACTGGAATATGCCTCGTTCATCTGGAACCCGACGGGTACTATTCACATAAACCGGCTTGAGCGTGTACAGAAACAGTTTCTACGTTTTGCCCTTCTAGCTTTAAATTTCAATGACCCGGTCCCGTCTTATTCTGCCAAATGTCGGCTTGTTCACCTTTCTTCCCTAGAAGATCGGAGAACTACCAGTTCATTAGTTTTCATATGTGATTTGCTGACCTCTGAAATCGACTGCCCCGCACTGCTGGGCAGCATAGGGTTATCGGTGCCTGGTAGATCGTTAAGAACGTTTGAACCATTTTTTGTACCGGCTTACAGAGCCAATTATGCCCACAATGAGCCGTTGTGTAGAGCCCTGCATTTTTATAATAAGTTGCCATCTCACATGCGGTTGGATCCATGCTCCCCCAGAGATTTAATCAAGAAAAACTTGTATAATTATTTTGCCTCACTTAGTATTTAATTTAGTATTAGTTAGTAGCCAGTTAAGGTTTTTTTTACTGTTGGCGAATAAAGAAATAAATAAATAAATATACTTTACTTATTTATTCGAAGTGATTTCGTTTCCAGCGAGTGCTTTGTTTTTACATAAACTATCAGTTATACACGTGTAGAGCATTTGTAAATATTACCGATTTTCGCATAAGCTATAGCTATATTAAATATATACCTAAATCATGTATTCCTATCTAGGTGGTTGCTGTTATTCATAAACATTCAATAAGCAGTTGTTTCCAAGACCTATTTAATGTATTTGACATATCCAAAATGTTGATGAGCATGAGTATCAATATTCAAAAAACAAAAAATTCAAAAAAGAAAGCCAAACAAATAAAGTTGATCAAGATATTAGCAAGAATTTATGTGTTTTTAATTAAATCTGTGGAATTGGGCGTTTTTCCCTTTTTTCACATAGCAAAAATTTACGTCGATGAATGCTTACAGATCTTATTTGCTTTGAATCGCCATTTCAAAGTGTGTTTACGAAACTATTTTCATGCGTTTTTGAATGGTTGAATTCATATAAACAAACATATAAATCTTATTAGTTCCGTGCAGAGCGGTTGCTTTGGTTATAATTCCCTTAAAAAAGAAAATTAATTTGAGTGTCGGTTTTGAAAGAAAATCGCGTTCGAAATTCGTTGCGTCAGACTAAACGACCTGAAGATCATTTTTTTTGACGACTATATCTCATAAAGTCCGATCGAATTAAAGTTTTTTTTTTAATTCCTTATAAAAAATTTAAATTAAAAATCTGCTTATGTCAGAAACTCGCCATACAAAGGGCATAGCTGAACGTGCCTAAGAAAACGTAACATCCCATTTTCCCATTTTCAAATATTTTGATCCACTTGACTAGTAATATGGAATAAAGTCAGCAAATTAATATTAAATATTCGTTGAAGAATTTTCAAAAACCATGAAAATATACATTTCTCTGCTAAAAGGCTGAATTGTTGAATTTGGGTCAGGTGTTTCAGATTTTCCATACAAAATAATACTTTCAGAAAATTTTTCCATTAGGGTTGAATTTTCAACAATTCAGTAATTCAACAGTTTGGGGAATAGCCTGAATGTAAATTTTTATTGTGAGGATAAATAAATTTTTAAAATATAATCTTCTGGTTAAAATATAAAAAAAAAATCAATTTTAAAAAAATTGCTAAATAATTTCTATACTCGGATTGACCGTTAGGTAAATACCAAACTAATATTTGCGACCAGCCGTCGCTCAGTGTGGTCACACTGCTCTGGTCGCGCCGATTATTATCAATATGTTATACAAATGATGCGCGCTCAAATCGAAATAAACAACACAATTTACGATTGAAAATACCTGTAGAGGTGAAGAAACGATGCTCGCGGACATATACTTACAATGCAGATTTGACTTTTACTTAAATAAATATTGGTCCGATTATTCAGCTTCATGTTCATGTTCACGCCATCAGACAACGAGAGCAACAATCTAATAAATGTTTAGCATAATATTAAAAAATTATAAGACTTTTTTAAAACGGCAAACATCGATGATAAAGCGCAATTATCGATATTTCCAAAATGTATAAATACATCGATCCATCGATGTTTCCATCGATGTTTGCCCACCGCTAGCTAGTCGCGTCCAGAAAGTGTACAATTTTTCACCACCTCGGTTTGTTTTTTCCTGACTGGGCGAAGCACCTCCGATTTGCGATCCGATTTCCGTCTCCGATCCGTTTTCGGATGATAGCTCTGAGTGCGCTGCTAACCAAATACACGATCGGTATTATGAGCAACCTAAGCAATGGCAACAACAACAACCAGCAGCAGCAGCAACAACAACAGCAGGGGCAGAACGCACAGCAACAACCGCAGAATGAAGGCGGTGCGGGGGCGGAGTTTGTGGCGCCACCGCCCGGACTAGGCGCCGCGGTGGGCGTGGCAGCGATGCAACAGCGACAAAGGCTGCTGCAGCAGCAACAACAACAGCAGCAACATCAGAATCCCGCCGCCGAAGGAAGCGGACTGGAACGGGGCAGCTGCCTGCTGCGATACGCCAGCCAGAATTCCCTGGACGAGAGCTCGCAGAAGCACGTCCAACGGCCAAATGGCAAGGAGCGCGGCACAGTGGGCCAGTACAGCAACGATCAGCACACGGCGCGATCCTTCGACGCCATGAACGAGATGAGAAAGTAAGGATAACTCGAGTTCGTATCGGGGGGTCTATTTCAAATCGATCCTCCGACTTCGTAATCCCTTAATATGCTACCTGTGTCAGGGTTATTAGATCCTGAAAAATGTGTGAACATTTGAGACATCTGTTCTGGGTACAGATTAGAATAGGTTTCATATGGTATTTAGCCCTGAAAAAAGTGCACTTCAGGTAACTGAGCATGTACCTTATCATAATGTCTCTTACATAGGTAAAAATGCAGCTCTTAAGAAACAAAAGGATTTTTGGAAGTTCTATTAACTGTGCGTTCTTTAAAATCCAAATTATTTCAAATAATTTTACAACGCTAAAGCTGTCAAAAGCAAGATTCGCCTACATTGTCAAAAAACCAGTCTATTCCGTTCTTATTTATTGACATTGTCATCATAATATTTCCAAAATATGATGAGTAATCTTTTTTAATAGCCAAAAAAATATGAAGCCATGTTTTAAATCAGGCTGATAACGGGTTTAAGATTTACACCGCCTACAGAATTTACGTTTTACCGGTTGTTTTATTTGATTTGTGGCTAATTACTTAAAGAATTTATTTAAAAATAAATTATCTTTGTGCCTCAATAAGGCATAGATTGCTAGAAATAGGAAAAAATTTTATTTTGGTCCGTAAATAATTTTTTCCTTGTCCAAAAACGAATCTTTCTTTTGACCTACCTCAAAGTATACCTACCAACTTTACTAGAACAGAATTTTTTCATACTTTCTATATTTAAACCAGCTCCCTTTGTTCCCGAACAAAGGAGGCATAATTAAATCCCTATATTGGACGGGGACAGGTGGGCCGTCTGCCTCTCGAGTTCTCTGATTTGGGCCAAGATGCGAAAATATAATCGCTGAAAATGTCGGACGATCGTCACTCACATATTTGCGCAGTTCGCTTTGTTTATCTGTCCGTTGCTAATATTTGTGTTTGCACACTATATTTGCCGACGCTTTTGTCGTGGGGCCATTCGCATTAATTATTGTCTAGTTTTTATTATGATGAGTTTCATACGCCTTCGGTTTTCGCATTGGGCCACGACCTTGAACTTGGTGGGGCCAAAATCTTTCGGTTTCGAATTTTATTTCGATTCCGCTTCCGCGTCTCCGCTTTTGGGTATCTGGAAAACTACTGGCGGCGTGGAAACTTTATTGGCAGCTTACACAAAACAAGTTTTTTCAACCCAATCGGAATTGGCGTCAAAAGTGAATGTGGTGTAATCGAAAACGTAAGGCATGCGTTGTAAACTGGATGAATATTCATTGTTTGCGATTGTATTTAAACAACGAACTCGAGATCCATGGGCCGTTTATTTAAAAGTTCTGAAGAGAGTATTATTTTTGTCACAAAATACTGCAAAAAACAAAATTTTAGCATTTTTTCGAGTAATGATAATAAATTTAAGTTCGCCCGTAATTTATAATTTTTAGTCGAATTTTATATAGTACTAATAATAACCAGACTTTATATTTTTAATACAAAACATTCATTTAATTTTTTTGCGGAAAAAAATTAGATTTACAAACATCTACAGCCTTGAAAATATTCAGCACACTTTTAAATTGTTTATTTGGCAATCAAAACGGCCCATTACAGGAATTTGAAAGGTCAAATAGAATTTTGTTTTGTTTGTAATCGACTTAAAAGTTGTTAATACTGTTGATGCATGTCGTTAATTTCAAGGAAATTACTTTTTAAAAACATTAAGCACATTTGCACTAGAAAACTAATTTATCCCGTTTTATTTTTTCAGACAAAAACAGCTCTGTGATGTGATATTAGTGGCCGACGATGTGGAGATCCACGCACACCGCATGGTGTTGGCCTCCTGCAGTCCGTACTTTTATGCGATGTTCAACAGCTTCGAGGAGTCGCGCCAGGCGAGGATCACCCTGCAGAGCGTCGATGCCAGGGCCTTGGAGCTGCTCATCGACTACGTTTACACGGCCACCGTGGAGGTAAACGAGGATAATGTACAAGTCCTTCTAACGGCCGCCAATCTGCTGCAGCTGACGGATGTGCGAGATGCCTGCTGCGACTTCCTGCAAACCCAGTTAGATGCCAGTAATTGCCTGGGCATCCGGGAGTTCGCCGATCTTCATGCCTGCGTGGAGCTTCTCAATTACGCAGAAACCTACATCGAGCAGCATTTTAAGTAAGTGGCACGAGATTACGATGACGCAATATGGGCAGGAAAAATAAATCTGTTTTGATTTGCGTGCTAACAGATAGGAATATGTGTACCTTTCAAGTACATATATCTGTTGGTAAATCAAAATTATTAAGTTCTACATTTGCGATTGTATTTATTAGCATTGTACTCTTCAGCGTTCTATAAACGTAATCATTAATTCATTTTTAATTCGACTTGCATTTAAAGCGATTGAGAATTTATGGCTAGCTTACTAGAAATAACCACAATATAGAAACTACAAAATTAGATTAACAGGTTTATTGATAAAATCCCTTACAGATTGCGAGGGTAATAATAGTTTATTAGGTTCAAGTGTATTTTTTTCAGACAATAATTATTTTGCCTATATTATTAAACAATGAAATAGTTTATTTAATATTCTTTGCACATATTAAATTTAAATGCTTTAATTTCAACGTCTTTAAAAATACTACCAAGTAGTAGTTTATAAGACAATCACGTATTGGTGTCTAAAAGCACCTATTTTTTGACGCAGTTCTTATAACAGACTGCAATGTTATAAGATCACGTTTTAAATAATATTTTAAAGAAGCTTTGTTATAATATTAACTTCAGCAAAATTAAATTAACAGAGATGAAATTTTCAGAACATTTCCTTAAAAATAGTTTAATAGAAATTGAAAATTATATATCTTGGCTTAAATCAATACCCATAATAATATAGTATCTTTTCATGAGATTAAGATATATATAAATGAATATAAAGAGACGCAAAATCGAAAGCAAATGTGCAATTAAAAACAATGAACCGGTTTGCTGGCGATTAATTGAATTTCGGCTTACTGCACTCTGCGCATTACTTGTGCCCCAGTACTGACTGCTTGAATTTGGTTTATTTGCAGCGAGGTGATCCAGTTCGATGAGTTTCTGAACCTCTCGCACGAGCAGGTCATCAGCCTGATAGGCAACGACCGGATTTCGGTGCCAAACGAGGAGCGCGTCTACGAGTGCGTGATCGCTTGGCTGCGCTACGATGTCCCGATGCGAGAGCAGTTCACCTCGGTGCTGATGGAGCATGTGCGCCTGCCGTTCCTGTCCAAGGAGTACATCACCCAGCGCGTGGACAAGGAGCTCCTCCTCGAGGGGAATATTGTATGCAAGAATCTGATTATTGAGGCGTTGACCTACCATCTGCTGCCCACTGAGACGAAATCCGCTAGGACGGTGCCCAGGAAGCCTGTAGGAATGCCCAAGATTCTACTCGTCATCGGAGGACAGGCGCCAAAGGCCATACGCTCCGTGGAGTGGTATGATCTGCGAGAGGAGAAGTGGTACCAGGCAGCCGAAATGCCCAACCGACGATGCCGCTCGGGCCTGAGTGTCCTGGGTGATAAGGTGTATGCCGTCGGTGGATTCAATGGTTCCCTGCGCGTGCGTACTGTCGATGTCTACGATCCTGCCACCGATCAGTGGGCCAATTGCAGCAATATGGAGGCCAGGCGATCTACCCTGGGAGTAGCTGTCCTAAATGGCTGCATTTTCGCAGTGGGCGGATTCGATGGCACAACGGGTCTGTCGAGTGCCGAGATGTATGATCCCAAGACTGACATCTGGCGGTTTATCGCCTCCATGTCGACGCGTCGCAGTTCTGTGGGCGTGGGCGTGGTGCATGGACTTCTCTATGCCGTCGGCGGCTACGATGGCTTCACCCGTCAGTGCTTGTCCTCCGTAGAGCGCTACAATCCAGATACGGACACCTGGGTCGCCGTGTCGGAGATGAACTCGCGAAGGAGTGGCGCCGGTGTGGGAGTGCTGAACAATATCCTGTATGCCGTGGGTGGACACGATGGTCCCATGGTCAGGAGATCCGTGGAAGCCTACGATTGTGAAACGAACTCTTGGCGTACGGTGGCTGAAATGTCTTACTGTCGCCGAAATGCTGGCGTGGTGGCTCACGACGGCCTGCTGTATGTGGTCGGTGGCGATGATGGCACCTCGAACCTCGCCTCCGTGGAGGTCTACTGCCCGGACTCGGACAGCTGGAGGATATTGCCTGCCTTGATGACCATCGGACGCAGTTATGCGGGCGTCTGTATGATCGATAAGCCCATGTGAATGGAAGAGCAGGGTGCATTGGCTCGGTAAGTTAATTGAAATAGATAGTTGACAAAGCGATTTATAATTTTCTCTCTTTTTTTCTTTCTAGCCAAGCTGCTTCGCTGGCCATCGCACTGCTGGATGATGAGAATAGCCAGGCGGAGGGGACAATGGAGGGCGCCATTGGTGGTGCCATCTATGGAAATATGGCGCCAGTTGGAGGAGCTGCAGCGGTTGCAGTTCCAGCTGCGCCGGCTCAAGCTCCCCAGCCGAATCATCCACACTACGAAAACATCTATGCGCCCATTGGCCAGCCCAGCAACAACAACAACAACAGCGGTAGCAACAGCAATCAAGTTGCAGCCAATGCTAATGCCAATGCCCCTGCAAATGCCGAGGAAATTCAGCAGCAACAACCTTTAGCACCAACTGAAGCCAATTCCAACAACAATCCGCAGCCACCAACAGCTCCAGTGCCACTACAACCACCACAACAACCACAACAACAGCCAGCACAGCCACAACAGCAACAACCTCAACGCATACTGCCCATGAATAACTATAGGAATGACTTATATGATCGATCTGCCGCGGGAGGAATCCTTGGGTCCAGCAGTTCCGCCGCTTACGATGTTCCGAGAGCCGTGAGATCCGGCCTCGGATACAGACGTAACTTTCGCATAGATATGCAGAATGGTGAGAATTAAATCTAATATTGACCAGAAGACGATTTAATCTAATTGATTGATCGCAGCTGTATTTAAATTAACCCGTTTTAGTTATAAAACTTTTGCCTTGCTTCCCGTAAATATTATAAGCAAACTTAGTTTTAACATTTATTACGATGATGTGAAAACCAAGCTAAAATCAAACAAGAAAACAAACAAATAAGAAATATTTGCTAGCATTGGTAAGCGAAGTTCAAATCAATTATAAGTTTCAAATCGGTTCAAATTTAAATTAGAGCCCTGTTTAATAGAATTGAATGAATGGATGGCATGAATTCCGAAATAATTCAAACGACAATTTCTTTTAAAGAAAAAAAGGGCCATATTTTTGTCATTAAATCTGCCTGAATTTTATTTACTATTTATTTATTTATTTTATTTATTTACTCAAAATCGGTCATCAGAAATACTGATTAAACTAACACTTAACTCTTCCTTTTAATCCCATAGGAAACCGCTGTGGAAACGGGATTCGATGCAGTCCACTGTATTCGAACAGTCGCTCCAATTGTCAGCGCCAACGCAGCTTCGATGACACGGAGTCCACAGATGGCTACAATCTGCCTTATGCCGGAGCGGGAACCATGCGATACGAGAATATCTATGAGCAAATCCGGGATGAGCCGCTTTACAGGACATCGGCTGCCAATCGAGTGCCGCTCTATACACGTCTCGATGTTTTGGGCCATGGAATCGGAAGAATTGAAAGACACCTCAGCTCGTCCTGCGGCAATATCGATCACTACAATCTGGGAGGACATTATGCCGTGCTAGGGCACTCACACTTCGGGACAGTCGGACACATTCGATTAAATGCTAACGGATCTGGAGGAGCTACAGCTGGCGGTGCAGGACCCGGCACCTGCAATGTTCCCAATTGTCAGGGTTATGTGACAGGTGCTGGTTCCACTGTCCCCGTAGAGTACGCCAATGTCAAGGTTCCTGTGAAAAACAGTGCCTCCAGTTTCTTCAGCTGCCTGCATGGCGAAAATTCGCAGAGCATGACAAATATTTACAAAACGTCTGGAGCAGCAGCAGGTGCCATGGCTGCCCATAATTCCCCATTAACGCCAAATGTCTCTATGGAGCGAGCCGCGCGATCTGCTTCCGCTGGAGCAGCAACAACTGTTGAAGAGCATTCCCCGGCGGATAATATTCCAAGTTCATCGAATGGCATTACCAGTCGGACAACGGGAGCTATTCCCAAGGTGAAAACTGCCAGCAAGGCGTCCAAGGAGTCGGGAGGATCCTCCACAGCAGCATCGCCAGTCTTAGATAAAACTACATCCACTGGATCGGGAAAAAGTGTAACTTTGGCCAAGAAAACTTCTACGGCAGCACGTTCAAGTTCTTCCGGAGATGCCAATGGAAATGGGACCTTAAACCGCATCTCCAAGTCCAGTTTGCAATGGTTGCTAGTCAACAAATGGTTGCCGCTGTGGATAGGCCAAGGACCCGATTGCAAGGTAGGTTACTCTAACTATTCAGATAATATAATTTTTTCTCACTATTTATCTTTCCGTCAGGTGATCGACTTCAATTTCATGTTTTCCCGTGACTGCGTTAGTTGCGACACCGCTTCGGTGGCGTCTCAGATGTCGAATCCGTACGGCACTCCCCGTTTGAGTGGTCTACCCCAGGATATGGTGCGTTTCCAGAGTTCCTGCGTGGGACCTTGTGCCACAGCCGGTGCAGCTTCTACCATACGAAGGGACACTAATGCGTCCGCTCGCCCATTGCACAGCACTTTAAGTCGCCTGAGAAACGGAGCGGAGAAACGGAACCCCAATAGATTGGCTGGAAACTATCAATACGAGGATCCCTCGTACGAGAATGTACATGTACAGTGGCAAAATGGTTTTGAATTTGGAAGATCACGCGACTATGATCCGAATTCCGCCTACCATCAGCAGCGTCCCATGCTGCAAAGGGCCAGATCGGAAAGTCCTACGTTCAGCAATCAGCAAAGGCGTCTTCAGCGACAATCGGCCCAGGCTCAACAACAATCGCAGCAGTCAAAGCCGCCGGGATCGCCGGATCCCTTCAAGAACTACAAGCTAAATGCGGATAACAACAGCTTCAGGCCAAAGCCAACGGCTGCCGATGAGCTCGAGGGCGCTGTTGGTGGAGCAGTAGCTGAGATAGCTGCTCCAGAAGTGGATACCGAAACCGTAGATCCTGTCAACTTGAGTGATAATGAGACTGAGACATCAAGCAGTCAAAACAACCCTTCAGGCACTACCAACAGCAACGATGTGAATGAGCACAATGATTAGACATTGATCAGATTAGTTCAGGCAGAGAAGCGTTTTATAAAATATTTCTTTTCAAAAAAGTTAAACTTCTCGAGAAAATATTCTTTAATACTTTGTAAGACTTTATATGGAATGTAAGCTGGGTTTTATATTTTTTAGAGTCAAACGTGATACCAGTTTATCGTATACAAGCTAGTTTTTACATGAGTATTCAATTATAAATTCGCTATGCACATGTAATTTTTCTTGGAATTTACTCTTTAGAGGCTCTAAAATTCTACTTGGAGAAGTTTGACTTTATTGAACTTTTAATTTTGAATCAATAACAACGCTACTCCTCAAAATTGGATCTCACAAAACAATAATAGCAAAAACGAATCGACCAAAAGAAAATTCGAGCAAATTAAAAATATATTTTAACAATCAAAATAGAATATCACATTAACATTGTAGAATTTTATGTTACTTTAGAAACGGGCGACTTTAGGTAACCAAGCAAAGCTCAAGATCGAATATTATGTTGCATACTGTAGTTGTAGTTGAATCCAGAATTTTTGTGTGTCATGTGAAGTTATAATAAACCTAAGAGCCATATCATATCACTCTCCGTAACCATAAGCAATATGCATTTGATATGATAATTTTGTTTCATTTTCCACTGCCTACTCTAATTTCCATTACACATTGGCATTTGTCACTTGCTTCGTTCTAGTACTTTAAGTTATGGCTTTAAATCGATAATAATGTTTAGCAAACTATTGTACAACCTCTCCATTAAAACCTATCGTTTAAGTCAATTAGAATTACAGGTATTATTTACATGCATATATATACAAACGCATATACAATACTCCAAAATCGGTACATAATATAATCATACTTACATGTGTATTGAGTTTAACTAATTCATAATAAAAAAAAAGTTCAACGAAACGAAATGCGGGCTGTGTTGTTTTTCTGGAAGATTTTTGTTTTTATTTTAACAAACTATTATAAAATTGGATGCTTTGTTCTCATTGCTTTTTTTGTTGTTCATATACACAGATACATTATATATCAATACCGTTAAATTAAAAAATACAATATCTGTTCGTAATATACTCGTATTTATAGATATATCTTGCCACGCTCCCGTCCTCTGCCAATGCCCTCCAGGGAATTTTCTTCGAATGAATTTCGAACGCTCGAGGTTCGAGTCGCCGACTTAGCCGATATGTTTTCGCTATGCTCCCTCACATGGATTGACTCAAAAAAGCATAAACACTGATGAGCGCTAATTGAATTTGCATAGTATACGTATATGTTTATATTTTCTTGAAATTTTGCTTCTAATTCGAATATTACGGGAATGCTTTACTCTTTACTCGTTACTCTTTGAATATTTGTAGTAATTTGTTTGGCTGCAATTTCTCGCTATGTCTACAAGCTTTGTCTAAATCGCTGATAAGTTCTTTAGGATTAGATTTTATATATTTGCTGCTGTCGCTGCTGCTGCTCTTGATGTTGAATTTGTAGTATACTTCGTTTCACCGCCTCGTTCAATGCTAAACTTAAAATATACACGAAGAACTAAGAACTAAACTAGAGAAATGCTTTAAAAAATTAGCCCAGAACTATACAAAAACGCTTTAAGCGCCTCGCCTCCCTTCTTAACTTCTTGCTGTAACCCAGATCAATTGCAAAAAAAATAATACACATCGGTACTTAATGGCCAAAATAAAATAAGCGACAAAAAACAAAATTTATAAAGGTTTGGAATGTTTTTAAAATTATAAATTAGATTAGATTTAAATGTAAAAGAAACTTGATTGAAAATATTGAGAATAATAACAGAATGAGGAATATTTTTAAATCAATGCAAAGAAGTGCCGCCTATTATATTTTCGCATTAACATTCGCGATATATATTCTGACATAAACCCAGCTTTCAAGATCCCGCTCTCTATTTGGGCAACTCGTAGATCTGAACGGGCAGCGCCTTGGGCGTGATTATCTCGTCCTCGAAGTCCTCGTCATCCCCGTGGATGGCATAGTCCCCGCCATTGTGCTCTCCCTCGAACTCATTGGGCACGATCTCCACATCGCTGGGCCGCGAGGTGCTCCGTGATCCTCCGCCGGAGTCGCTGCCGTGCCGATTGGATCTCGTCTTGGTCGACTTGCTCACAAAGTCGCGCAGCATGTGCGAGTACAAGATGTCGTCCAGATAGTACATGGTGCCCAAGTTGTATACAAAGACCTCGCTTTCCGTGATCTGGGCATTGTTCACGCTGGTATAGTTGCTGCCCGGATTGCGAGTGATCTTTATATGGCCACCGCCGATTGTCTCGAAAACCTCATTATCGCGGAGATCCCGGTTGTACAGACGGCCCTTGACGAAATGGTTTAGCAGCATTTTAACGCCGCGTTGTGAGGCCTACGTAAATGATTCTAAATACATTTAATATTTATGATAATATTTAATACTCACCATGACCTCATCGGATAGTTTATCGAATCCTAGCTTTTCAAAGGCCCGATCCTCTGGCACAAAGAAAGTGTAATTGGCTCCCGAAATGTGGGGAGCAATCTCGGCACTGTTTAGATATCTTTAGGGAAGGTAACGATTTTATTTATTTTAACAATGAAACTACTAAATTCTAACCTGGTAATCTGGGTAAATCGCGGATCTCTCTCCAAGGCCAAAAATGAGTGGGACAGGAACTGTGCTCCAAACCAGGGGAATGCCAGCAGTGGAGGCGTCTCCTTGTCTTTGTGCATCTACAATTTTTTATTATAATAATTTTATCATAGAAAAATTCTATATTTTTTTTTCTAATATTCTCCTCCTGATTTTCCAAGTTGGCCCAGTGCTTACCTGATGCAATTTGGAAACCACAGCTTCTGTGACGAAGAGCACTTCGGAGATAATGAACACCTGATTGCCATTGGAGAGGTTGTAGTCGGACATAATGCTCACATTGTTCACCGTGGGCGTGGCTATCGAAGGAGGGAAGGGCCACATACCGTTGTCATAAATTGAATTTGGGAATGTAATTTATGAGAGCCACTTACGTTGGCCGTGGAAGACGACATCCTCGCCACCCATGGTGGTCACGACCACCTCATCCATATTCCGGACATCGGCCAGCCGCAGGGGTCGCTGCATGGGCAGGAAGTGGTTCCTAAGCACCGACTCGGTGAATTCGGGCACGGAGAACGGGTAGAATCCCCAGTCGATGGGATGCCAGCGCTGGAAGGCGTTGTCTGAGGGAATCAGCACCGTGTACGCATTGTCGTCCATAATTCGGGTCAGATTGCTCTTGGAGAGGAAGTGCTGGAACACCTTGGTGCCCGTCTTCATGTTGGCCAAAAAGGACATCAGTGGACTGGCCTTCGATTCCTTGATAACGGGCTCCACCTTTGCATGCGCGTTCGTAATGTTCGGCTGTTCCAACGGTTGGGGGTCGTTGTAGCGGCTGTATAATGCACAGAAAAAAAAAAAAAATTTAAATATAATACATTTATCAATTTAATATTTTGAACTGCCGAAAGCTATTTAATCATCTTTGTACTGCATAATGCGATATGGTAGTACAATTTTTTTCAAACTGAAAAAGTCATTGCCTAATTTGTTTTTCTGTGTGAAATGAATATGCAGTGGATGATTATGGGGATGCGGTGGGACTAGGTCCACAGATTGAGATTGAGTTTCGCTCGACGGCCTTGGTCAGAATTGCGGAAGAGGAAACCCACTAAAGTTGGAAGTGTGTGTGCGAAAAGTTGGACCAGCAAAAACTTTGTTTGCCGCCTGATAAATTTCGCATGAGTGCACTTTTGACCGCAAACAAACTAGGACTAGGAACTTGGCAGGAATCCTTTACAGTGGTTATCAGAAAATTTAACAAGAACTACTATTCTTTATTTATTTAATAAAAGTAACATAAAGCTACTATTTTGTTAGAAAGGTAGTGACCGTTCTTTCTTGGCTTTACCATTTAAAAAGAGTAAAATTTTTAAAAACATTTTTTTGTTTCTATATGTTTTAAAATGTTTGTTTATATTAAAAACTTTTTAGCCTTTGACCTCATATAATTTTTTTTACAAATGTTTTTTTTTATTTATTTATTTATTGGCATGATTTGGAACCACTGTGTGCGAATAGGTGGCGTTGGTCATACTCACTTGTTCGTTTCCTGAATATTGCGCTTGGAGTAGGGCGACTTCCTATCGCCCAAATAACCATCAATTGCAATGGCCATCAGGTTCTCATTGATACGCAGCTTGTGGAGTATTTGCTGGCCATTGAGTAGCCAAACATTGTTGTGGGATTTTTCCAATTTACGGAAAACGATTTTGTGTCCGTTCCCATTGCCGAAGGACTCCTCCTCCTCCTTGCTGTTGCCATTCCCATTTCCATTGGCCGCCGCGCTGTAACTGTCGAAGATTTTCCCGGGCACCAAATGCTCCAACATGAACTCCTTTAGCCGCGGTTTCTCAATGCTCCGCACATCGATTTTGGGCACAATCAATGTGTACGGTAGGTCTGCCGGAATATGTCCACCGGATCCGAGCGAACATGCAAAGGAGACGGAGAGCCAGTTAGCTGGGGAATTGCTCACTTAAAAATGTAAACTGTTTTCGTTTCATTTACGGCTAAGTGCTGCGCTCAGCACACCTGAATCCCCAAACTGTCCGCATGCTAATCAAGTAATTAACTTTGTGCCCTGCCGCGGGGTACATCTGTTTTATTTTTTGGAGGGCGTGTTGTCTACGTGGCTTTAATTAACTTATATTATTATGGCACACGCGTCTTGGATTCGTTTTTTGGAAGGTGTGTCAGAAGCTATTTTCAATGATTCTTAATTACTTCATTTCTTGTACCTAACGTTAAGAAATTGCTATTCATTTATAAGGAAGTTTTGGATCCGAATTTGAGATTGTTTTTGTGAAAACTAATATTTATGTAGGTTAACTGTATAATACTGTATTGCGAAAACTATTAAATTTGATTATTTATATACCCACGATATTCAAATTTTTGTCAGAAATTTGTAAAGCATATTCTTGATTAGCATATGGATTTCGATACTTATAAATTCATACGTTCTATTCATACTATTTAGCAAGAGTATTAAAACATTGGCTTACCAAAGTTTGTTTCCGTACCCGTTTTAGTTAAAATTCAATATAATTAATGTCAGTTTTTATAAATCAAAAGCATCCATCTATCTTATTTTCTGATTGTGTAGATTATATCTATTTAATTTTATTTTATTTTAACAATCTCTGACTGTAACAAACTTTAGCTATTTAAATAGATTCCCTATGTTTTTCTCCGAACAACTTTCCCATAAGCTTCACCTCGGCTTTTTGTCCTTTATGTTCGCATATCCCCAGCTAACAGTAATGGCTAAATTGAGTATTTTTTGTTTATGATCAACATTTGGACAGCTAAACGAAGTCATTTGTCAACGTCACACATTTCCATTCTCTCATTTTCTGAGTTTTCCGACTGTCTATAGCTGTTTCGAGGAGTCAGTTGCGCCATGTCCTGTCTAACGAGCTTTCTGCAGCTGCTGCAAGTGCTGACAACGCTTTCGGGTTGCAACATTTACAGATATGTCGAAGGCAGGCGGGTATTCAGACTGAACCATAAGATTAATTTTCTGGTGGGTGCTATGCACAGATTCTGGCTGCGACCCTGGCTGCTGTTGATATTCATGATGCACTTAATTTACTGGGTGCTGGAGTTCCTCGGTGGACTGGCGGATCCCACGTCCGGCAGCGAAAGACCCCTGAATCTTATCTACGGAATGGGAATGACCATCGGCAAGAATCAGAACTTCTTCATCGCCATGGGGTTGGCCTATCATTACAGGTATTTTCTTTTATATAACCTATTAAATCACTGGGACTACCAAATTATTTATAAAGGTGTTAAATAGTAAAATTTAAAGTAAGACAAACTTCCGGCTTACAAAAAAAATTAAATATACCTACTATTTGACTCTTTTCTAAGTGATTTTAAAACTCTTGTGATGCACTCTGAAATAACTTATTTTTAAAATTTATATTTCTATTTTTCTTTAATGGATCGCCTAAAGAATAGGTATCATCGGACTTTGATGCGACAGGTTCTCAATGGATTTGTGAAGACCTTTTATAGCTACGAGAGAATCTGTGGACGGGCACCGCGAATGAACTGGTGGATTTATGGTATCCAATCCTACAGAGTACTTATTGCTTCATCGGCGCCTATCATTGCGACTTCTTCTGTGCTAGTTCCCGGTCTAGGACAAAATCTAGACATATTCCTTAATAAATCTGGAATAATCTTCGTCTGCATTCAGCCTCTTTTGTTATCTTTGGCTGTATATTTGGGCCTCGCGATCCTCTATGTCTTTTATGATATCCAGGTGCATTGTAAGCAAAAAAAACCATTTCAGCTCTACGTTTTTTACAGACAACTGATAAAGCTTAGGCACAATTTCGACTGTTTGGCCAGGCCCTTTGTGTGGACAGCCTTGTTGGAGAATTTGTGTCTCTTCATATCAAGCTTTCATTTGATCCTGTACGATCAGCAATCAGTAGAGCACCTTGTGAAGAGTCTGATAACCATCTTTATATATCCGATCACCCTTCTCCATATGAATGTGGGAATCAGCACTGCCGAGAAAAAGTTCGGCCAATTTAAGGCCAATTTTAAGCCACAGCGACAGGTGAGAAAGATTTAATTTTTAAATGTAATTTATATTTTGGGAGAATAATTAAAAATATATAATGTTATACAATTTTCAACAATGCAACTACATTTTGTTCTTTACGATTTTAGACACAATCGCTATGGCTTTACAGGCTCGTAATAAAAGCGACTGTTGATAGAAGTGATACTAACGTTTTTCGTCTGGACCGTGGACTTATTTTGGAAATGCTAAGACTTGGTTGGGTTTTTTCCATGTTTACAAATAGCTTGATGCTTAATAGCACCGCCAGGCTTAAACACTTTCAGACTGTAAATTATAAAAAATTGTTGTAGCTTTATAAAATGTTTGTAACAGAAAAAATTGTTTACTACTAGTGGTTTTTTATATTTGATACTTTTTATAAAAACTTTGTAAAATTTTATAAACATTTTTGATACATTTTATAATAACTTTCTAAGCTTTTAAAAATGTTAAGAGAGATTTAATTATATTTAAAAATTGGTTGCCCTTAAGTTATATTCCGGTTTTATATGGTAAACATAAAAAAAGTTATAATAAAGCATAGTAAACTACAAAAAAACCTAAGGAAATAGTTCTCAGTCCTTTCCGAGTAAACTTTTTGAAATATTTGCCTCATTTATTTTCCCGAAACACTCACCTGATTTTGGCTTGTAACCATACAACTCGAGGACGGGAAAGCCATCGTCGATGAACCGGTAGACCTGCTGCCACTTTTCGTCTTCCTGGTTAACGCGCTTCAGGATGGCCAAATCGGGCAGCACTTTGCCCTCAATCAGCTTGGCATTCTTCAGGCTGGCATCGATTCCGGTTGTCAACGTGGATGCTGTTGCTGATGCTGAAGTTGCTGTTGCTGCTGCATCTGCGACAGCAGCAACATCGGCAACTTGCAGCAGCGACAGCAACACGAGTGTTGCCACCGGCACTTGCAACATTTTGCGCGACATTCAAGATTCGGTTTCTGTTTTATTATATTTCGTATTCCTCTGTTCTTGTTCGTTAGCAAACTGTGAAATTATTTTTAATTGCTAGCACTTTTGGAGAGTTTTCGTTTGTTGCTTGTTTCTTTGAGTTGTTGCCACTTGTTCTACAGTTTTTTGATAGTTTTACGGTACCACGAGTTTATTCATTTTTTGTTGTTTGCTAACTTGTTTTCGGCCGGGAGAGGCTTTACATAATTGTCAAGTGCTGGAAGAAGAAGGGTGATTTTGATTAGTTTGCAAACTTTTAGCTTATTGAAATTCCAGGCGTTGCCCATGCGACTTAATGCGGGTATTCAAGTGTTTTGTATGCAAATCGTATAGCGTTTTTCGCCTCTCTATAAATACGAATATCTATGCGGCTATAAATATATGTATAAAATAAGAATAGATGGCTTGAGTTCATCACGCCGATATTTGCATTCGGTGATTTTGATTGCAAATGCAATCTGGGGAAAACCCGAAAAGGGCGGCACTCTTACGACGAGATGCCAGCCAGATGGGAATCAGGAATTGTTGAATTTGCACACTTCTAGTCGTGATGGGCCCTCTCGAATTTTGTTCTCGTTTTGCATATGAATCGTGGCTGGATAATAAACCATAATGTGCGACAATTTGTTTATTTGCTGACCTCTGCGCTCAAATCTGATCGCATACAAGGCTGTTCACTCAGCGGCATGTGCACACAGATACAAATACTATGTGAAGAAAGTGAATTAATTTCAATTAAAGTTGACAAAACTAGATGGCAAAGTACGGCGTAAATAAACCCAGAGAGAAAGAACTGCGACAAACACCAATCAGATCGAGTAAAAGAAAAACTCTCAACCAAAGTAAATTTTCCAAAGAATCCGGAAGTTTTGGCTGAATTTAAACACTTTAAAATCTGTGTCGTTTTCAAATGTATATTTTTTGCTTGAGCCCAGCACCTTTGGCGCGCATTTGCGAACTGAACCGCACCGATTCCCGATTCGAACTATACTGTGAGCCCCTGGGGTGGTCAAATCGACCGACTGGAAGACCAGAGCAAAAGCCTGAGACAACAGACAAGTCGGGCGAGAAGCAGAGGAAAACGGGCTCAGCGATGCCCGGTGGGAAATGGGCTGCCGATGCCTCAGTCGAGGAGACTTGATGGCCCCGAATCGGTCTTTAAAGTATAATGGCTAAAATACAAATTTCAATTCGTTTTTAAATCGTAAAGTTTTCTGAATAAATGCCAAAAGTTAGTTTCTTTTATTTTATGTAAACAGATTTTTAAAACATCCCATAATATTTTTTTTGTTTTTTTTTTGTTTTTAATTCTAATTGCAAGGAATTTAATTTTTTTAATAAATATTTTATGCAAGTCTTGTCCTATCGATCCATTGTATATGTTTTCCCAGGCCGACCCGAATGAAACAATTTCCTTATTATTTAAATTCCCTGTGCATTTGCCACCGGGCATTTATCACTTATCACAAACGCTCATTATTCATGATTATGCTTTGGCTTTTGTGCAAAATTGTGCAACTACCGCCGCAGTCCCGGCTCACATGGACTACTAGCTGTCTGGTCTGTCAGAGGTTCCCCCATTTTTGCGGAACTCCCCTCCATCGTTCCCAGTTCCCATTCTCAAAAGCCAATACCATTCCCATTTACATTTGCACAGAGAGAAACAATAAAAAAGATGAGTAAAATCATATAAAAATTTAAAAAAATTTTAAGTTTTACTTCAGAGAAAAAAAATGGACAAAAGATCAGATTGATATGTGCTGGTTAATTTTATATTTTTTAAAGATCAAGTTATTCATATCATTTTGATTTGAATAAAGTTTATGTGTATCCTATTTTGCATTATTTGTTAAAAAATACTACATTAGGTATTTTATATGATATGATAATATATAAAGTTGATATGTTTGAATCATACATTTTACAAAGAAATAAGGTAGAATTGGCACTTTTTCATATCCATTTTGTATACTTTTTATAATATTATTGAAAAGAACTGTTGCCCTTTGCCGTACCTTATTTGCTAATTAATATTTTTCTCTCAGTGTGGTCGCCAGTCTGGAGACTGGCAGCAATTGCTGTGATTGTGCTGACGAGGTTTTGTGGCCGAGCTTTAGCATCAGCCGACTGACTGCTGCACTATATAAATGTTGTCTTGCCTTGTTACAACTTTGTATTTTTGGCTTCTTTTCGAACCTCTTTGTGTGTGCGAGTGCTTGTGTGGTTTTTAATGAGAGTCTCGTGCAGGTCTTTTCCATTGTTGGGGACCGACTCTGCCGGTCGACGATATCGTAATTGATATTATTGTCAACCGGAGGGTTTATTTATACTTTAAGTCGCCTTTTAGTGAGGGGCATTAAAGATGCATTTTGAATGCGAAAGGAGCACTCCGTTTTTATCCTGATTAAAGTTTTGCTTTTCAACGGACGCTTTTCGGACTGCTTTAACATTTATGTGTAACCTGGAATTGCTTAAATCATTCAATCTACTTGTCTGTGATGACAAATTCTTTAATTCATTTCGCACACAATCTGTTTGAGGAACTGCATCGACAATTACATTAAATGTCGAACATTTCCCAGTGCTTAACTGCCGGACTGGTTCAATCAAGTTGCGTGAACTACTTTAAAAATTACCCACTTAAAGGTGAGTTTAAACGACTTGTAATTGGGATCTTTGGGATAGTTTCCGGAATACTCTCTTTGCCGTAAACACGAGCTTTCTTTGGCTCGCCTTTTAATTACTTTTCCACGTAAAGCTTGCCAACTTTTCGTCTTTTTTTGCACGTTACATTCTCTCGTATGATTAAAAAATTCTTGGGAAACAATTTTCATAGTTTTTAGCCGGAGAGAAGCCGGTAAATCTAGCCAGGCACGCACACACTTGTTATTAGGGGAAACGGATATGGAAATGGAAGGGAAGAGGAAGAGGCAGTGAGGGTGAGGGTGTGGGTAGGAAAACTCCATTGACGAATTTGTGTATACGAAAGCAGGAAGCCTGTGGATAGTAACTTGTAGTAGTGATAGTGACAGTGATAGTAGTGGTAGTACTACGACGACTACTACACAATACTACAGTGACCAAGAGCAACAAAACAGCAGCCAGCAGCAGCAGCAGGAAGAGCAGCAGCAACAATAAACAGTCCGCAGAGTCCAGAGTGCAAACCAATTGAAATTAATTTGCATAATATAAATCTGGACATTCAGCAATAGAATGGAGCCGAATCCACTTTATCCCCCATCCCCATTTTCCCCTCGATGCACAGGCCGCTAATTCTGGGATTATTCACAGTTTATTGCACTTAGTTTTCTTGCACAAAAGTTCTTGCTCCCCGACTGTTTTTCTGTCATTTTCTACATATTCCACAATGCTTGGTTTACTTTCTCTGTTTTTCGTTTCACATTTTCATTGAGCGTTTTGTGTTTAATTGGATTGCTTTGGGTTTCAGTGGCTTGTTGAATTTTTCATTGCAGTTTTTGACTGATACTGGTTTCACTGGACTTTACTTTTCCGCTCTACGCAGCTCGCGCGTTGCTCTTCTGGCAAGTGTTCCGTCTGTTGTGCCGGAAAATTGACGACAAATTGAAAGCTTTCGTCTTGGTTGCGTCGCTTGTCGGTGCTTTTGGGCTCCTTGGTTATGGGCCAGGGTTGCCAGGTTCCTTATAATTCTTTAAAACACGGACCTAGCTCAGCAAACATTTTTCAATTCCGTTAAATAATAAAATCAAAGTGTTGAAGATAAAAAATGTTGTTTTGAATATTAATGACTTATATTTACTTTGGCAAACAATTTTGAAAAAGTTATCCAAGACCTATTATTTCAGGTAGATTTATCTGTAGTAAGCTTATACATTTAAAGTAAAAAGCTTCTTTTTAAATCTGGGACCCAAACCCTGCAACCGCTTTTAGATATTACGTATACGAACTGTAAACATGTAATCTTACTGTAAAGAAAAATAGAATAAAAACCGTTAAAAAAACAAAAAAATTAAAAAACTTGTAAAAAATCGCAAATAAATCAAACATACTTTGGATATATTATAATAATCTTAGTTATCTTAAAGATTATTTAAATGAAAAAAATACATTTTAATTCCTATAACATAATTGAATAATTCTAATACGCCATTAATAATTCTGTATTTTGTATAATAAAACCAAATGTATGTACGCAGAGAAAATTAGGAAAAGTTTTGTAAACCAGGGGTAAAACATAAAAAAAAAGTAAAACGCTTCATAATAATGTTGTTTTATTTACTTATGATTTTTAAAACGTTTTTAAAATGTTTTGACCTTTTTTTGTCCCTAAAACGTGGCATAATTTTCTCTTTGTATTTTAATCAATTCTGGAAATTCAATTTATAACACAGGCCAACAGTGTTTTTGGTGCAGCCCTATGGGCATTAAATTGTGTTAATATAGACGGATATAAGCATATCTGCATACTCAGTTTTCGAGTTTAACGGGTGGTATTTGTGCAATCGCGGTTTGAAAAAAGTAGCAACATTTTATATTTTCATTTAAGATATCTTCGAGGGTCTGTGCTCAGTTGTAATAAAACCTATGCCAAAAAATTGCTTAGATGCCCTTCTACATAATTGCATTTAAGGTTCCATCATTATTTGAGTTAATAAAAGCCTATGAGCCATTGAAGTAATTTGTTCACCTCTATTTACAACCAACTTGATGCGGTGAACAGGCTTAAAAAAATACAAGGAAAAATATGTGCCCTAAAATATTTTACATGATTCTAGAGGCGTCTTTTCCCGAATTTTTGAGATAAATCCCACTATTGTACTTCGAAAAATGGAATTTATAGAATTTTTTCCGTAAGAATGGGAAAAGTAACAAGTATTTTAGAGTCACTCTTACGTAACGAGTTTGTCGTGATTTTACACAGTAGGCCTTTTAAAGATAACAGTGGCGTCGCCTTAAAATTGTGGTGGGGATTTTTTTTAAGGCATATTAACTCCTTAAAAATATAATTTGTCTATGTTCGGCGCCTACTGCTAACCAAATTGAAAGGCACATTTTTACGAATGTGTCAGATATTTATGTAAAATGGGATTTAAAAATAGTTGTTACTTTTTAAGTTCTTACGGAAAAAATTCTATAAATTCCATCCTTTGACGTACAATGGTCTTATTTGTCTTAAAACTCGGTGAAAGACGCCTCTAGATGCCTGTAAAATATTTTAGGGCATATATTTTTCCTTGTATTTTTTTAAGCGTGTTCACCGCATCAAGTTGGTTGGGAATAGAGGTGAACAAATTACTTCAATGGCTCATAGGCTGTGATTGACTCAAATTATGATGGAACCTTAAGTGCAATATTGTAGAAGGGCATCTAAGCAATTTTTTGGCATAGGTATTATTACAACTGAGTACAGACCCTCGAAAATATCTTAAATCAAAAAATTAAATGTTGCTATTTTTTTCAAACCGCGATTGCCCAAATACCACCCGTTAAACGCGAAAACTAAGTATGCAGATATGCTTATATCCGTCTATATTAACATGTTTTAATGCCAATAGGCCTGCACCTTTTAATAAAGTCCATTTTGTTGACCTGTGTAATTTAATCATCACTTCTATATATATCTGTGTTACCACCAATCAGAAAAATTCTATTAAATAATAAATCAAAATAGTATTATAAAAGGTTCTTAACGTTTAAACTATTTCTGTTATATTTTTCTGTGCAATTTATACTCTAGATTATCCGCCTCAAATGTTTCAGTCTATTCTTCCCACTACTTATCCTTAATAACAAATTAATCAAGCATACGCCATGCACACTGCACACACACAGGCAGAATAACAAGACATTAACACATTGAACAGCTCTTGGCTGGCAATTATTAACACATTAACAGCTCGCTACTTGGCTATTTGCACAATTCATAATTATAATATGCAGGCATCACCGGTAGGCGACACGTGACAATAAAAACAATACATAAAATATGCGCCAGCAATTTGTTTGTGTTCCGTACACATAAAAACAATGAATAAGTAATATTAAAAAAATCCATATGGCGCCCATACAACAACCGTATTAAATGTCAAATTAATTTTCATGCCATTAAATGCACCAAGTGCTACCGAAAGCAAATATAAACAAAACAAATGTATATAGAACAATCAAACGCAAGGACGTCCAATCAATGCGACCGATTCAAGGTTTTCCAAACAAACCGAGAACGAACTAAAAATGGAGAAAAACAAGTGCAGAAATGAAAGCAAAATACGGACCGAAAAAATGTGCATAAATATGCCGCAGAGCTTAGGGAGCCACTGGCTTAAAGTCTTAGGAATCGTCTGAAGAGTGAACACATGGGCAACGAATAAATATGGCTATACCATTTATCCGGACGAGAGTTTCCACTTCTGCCGAGAGTCTTTCTTTTATTCGGCAACATGTATTTACATAGATTTACATTGAAAACACTTTAAATGCCTGGCAATCAACGCAGGACTGCGTAGAGATCCTGGGGCCCTGGACCTGAGCCCAATTGTCCTGGCCGAAACATGGTTAAATGACATGAAAGACCGATGCCCCTTGGCCAAAAACAAAAGTGCAACGAGGTCGACCGAACATACACACAAACACACACACACACAGTAAAGCAAACTTTGTGGTTAAAACTAAAGTGGCCTTTTTAGCATTCAACAAATACAAAAAAAAAAAACAAAAGTGCCAAAGAAGGGGGCTTCGAAAAGTGTCCAAAAAGTTGAATGGAGAAAGAATTTTGTGCCCGCTCATCTGCATTTGGCCACAGTTCTCACAGTTTTGGCCTCTTTTTTAATATTTCAACACAATTTCAGCATTGCATGGCAATGGCAATGGCTTTGGCCACCAGGAACAAAATCCGGAGGACTTCGGTCTTCGTGCCGCTCTGCGGTAATTTATGCATGCTGTTTGCCTCCTCTCGACTGTTGGCTTTTGTTGGTTTTAAAATAAATAAAAGATGTCACAAAAATGCTTTGACATGCTCGTTACTCTGCCGAATATATCCAGGCACAATATATACAAATTTACTTGATTTAAAAGCCGCTGCATTCCCTGCAGTACCACACACTTAGATAAAAAACTGAAATGTTTTAAAAACTAGACATGTTAAACTGGTATTTAGAATGTAAACTTGGGCTTAAAATACTTTCCCTGTTTATTTCATTTTTAAAAATTAAAAAATTGTTTTTTATTTTTATTTAATCTGTATTTCAATGTGTAGTAGAGTAACAATTTTTGTTGACGGTATGCGGAAGGACGGGGTATCCCCACCGAAAACTACTCAACGCTTTGAGTGCCATCCTTTTTGGTATTAACTGAAATTATCACCAGTAGGCCATGTTCCGAGGCCATTTGAGGAGGCCTTACAATTGGCTTTATTTTGGGGTGGAAACTAACTCAGAGAGGGTCTTATCACTGAATTGGTAGTTAGACTTAATTGAATATTCAAATGGGTGCTGGCTTGCCAATGGAAGAGCTCATTGGTCCACAGACAGCTTCCCCAACTTCTCTTCAATTTAAAGCTGGGATTTGTCAATAGTTTTGATTTAAATAAACCTTTAGTGCGCTTTAAGAATTGCAAGAAAAAAATATTTTTTCAATTGGTGAAATTTTAATTAGTGCGGTCACACTTTGTAGTCTTGCCATAATTAAATTATACATTGTGAATACGAAAAAACATGCCGCTTAAGTATGGAAAATTTACATAAATAATTAACATAAAATTGCCATGTATTGCGGCCTTTGTGAGTGTTCGACTGAAAAAGCGCTTTTTAATTGCGAAATCTATTATAAATTTTCCGTGTTAAGCGTTGAATTATGCAATGCTTTGACCAATAGTTGATCTCAGTAGTTTAAATTTAAGTTGTGCATTAACAATACTTTTATTGCCCATTTTCTTTGATTTATGAATAGAATCTTTTGCCTCATGCATACACATTTTATTTATTTTTTTGTCCGTGACTCCACTTGTTCCATCCTGCTTGTTCGTCCTTGCTGAGTGGCCTAATGAAAAGCGTTCAAGTGAGATTTACTTAAACAAATTCTAAGACACATTTCCCCAGGCAGTGGCCAAATGGCAGTGGAATCAGATGTCTTGGCTCTCTAGTGCAGCTTAGGATGCTGTTGCAGCCAAACATTTTATTTGCATTTCCACAGTTGTCCTTCACTTGCTTTTTGCAATTGAGTTTCTCATTTGTGTCCTTTTTCGCTGGATTGTTCAAACTCTGAATAATGGAGGTTGTGCTCGCTTGTGCAAAATGCTGTGATTTAAATATTTAAAAAGTGAGAGAAATAAAATGGAAGACAGCTTTTGTTTAAATGCCTTTTATGTGCAATATTGAGCCAGCAGGCAATCGAGCAATAAATCAATTCAAAATAATGCATGTGCATATCGAATATTTTTTCCTTGCTTTGGCTCAAGGTTGTTTTGGTTTGCAAAAAGAGCAAGAGCATTTGCTCTGAAAAATGGTTTAAACACAGCTTTGACGGGCCTTTAATAAAGCGTTTTTTTTCTTCCTTTCTTCCTTGGAACTTTGTAATCGTTAGGTGAATTTCACCTAACTTAACCTAACCTAACTTGCTGCGAAAGCACTGAAGAAATGATACCTAAGAGTAGGAAAATAATTGAAACATTATTTAATTATTATTAAATTATTTTTCAATTATTACATTTTAGTCATGAGTAAGTCATTTTACTGATTTTTTTACGAAAACGAAAATAATATGGTTCTAAATTCTAAGATTTTATAAGTACCTTGACAAAGCTTTTTGAAATTTATACAAATTTAATATCGATGTTACCAGAAATTTACCATGCGCATATCGATTTGATCCCGGAGTGTTTGTTTTGTAACTTTCTTATTAACTTGCTTAACTTGTACCCTTATTATATATTTATTAAAAAGTTATTAATACGGCAAAAAAATTTAATAATTTTCCAGGGTATTCCCAAGCTAGTGTTTTTGCTTCGACGCAGAACAAAGTGTTGCCTGGCAGGTTTCGCCTTAGTCTCCGGTGGTCAGGGACCGGAAATGGCATTAATGCCTAAGCCCAACGCCCTTCGCGCCATTATAATTAAATGCGCTGGCGACGGTCCCCACTTTGCCTGCGTCTGGCTCGCAAAATAGTGCACCCTGCAAATAATTAGCATGGCTCGGAATCCTGTGAGTAATTAAGGTAAGTCAGCTGTTGCCCTCGTCTCGAGTGGTAACAAAAAGCGGAATGAGCAAAAAAAGTGTCGTCCATTGTCAACGGAAATTAAAGTTTAATGGGGCGATTTTTTTTCTAGAATTTTCAAGTGCGAAATGAGCTTGTCCGGCTGTTTTTACGCTGACCAAATGTTCGTAACATTTCAAGCTATTAAACTAGAATTTTACCAACTTGATGGCACACAAGTTAGGGAAAAAAAACTGTTGTGAAAACATGGGAAATTTGAAAATTTTCTGGTAGGTAAAAGGGGGTGTACACCAGTGCCAAGTGAAAAGCAATTACAGAAGTGATTTAGAAATATGTACATGTGGAAATATTTAGAGAACCAATTCCAAGGGGAATGGGCGAGTTGGAAATTGTTGGCTTTTATTTGAAAGCGAAAGTAAAAATAATTTTGTGTGTCAAACACAGGCGCATATGATGCCAAAATGTAAATATTCTGATTTATTTCTCACTTCTATTAAAGAAAATTTGCTTTAAAATAATCACATTAGCACTCTCCATTACTGAACAACTATTAATTAAATTCAAATTACCATATTTGGTTTAAATAGTTAATTGATAAGGCATTTATTGTATTTGCCGTGCTTTGTTAATCTGTTTGATGAATATTGAATTAATTTGTATGTCAATGCTATACAAAATGCGTATTTATTTTTCAGTTAAATGGCTCAAATTGTTGCAAAAAATTTCATTGTAGTTCCATTAACTTTTGTTTGCTTATCTCTCTGGTCACTTCAATAGCACAAAGCCCTTTATCTGGCCAACTTTTTGCTCTCTAGATTACGTTCAATTACGGGTTGTAAATAATTAGTTTATTAAACGAACAGTTATCACGAAATTTTATAAGCACTGTCTAGTCAGGAATGAAAAACATAGATTTTTTAGATTTAGTTTTTATTTATTTTGAGCTTATTTTAAATCATGGGTTTTTGGTTCCTAGCGCCTAATCAGTAAAGTCGTTTCCTTTTTAGTTAAGCATTCAATTTGTTTGCACAATACAGTTCGATGGCCACCGTTGAAAAATAGAGCGGCATTTTTATGCGATAACGCAGCGAGTTAGTCACAGAACTTTATATTTCACCGCACTTTTATGGACTGCACCTCCAGCCAGATCATTACGGCGGCAATAGCCACATATATGGCCACGATCATAAAGATCTGCAGGGGACTGGCGGTGAAAACTTGGACCACCAGCATCACGGTTCCAAGGACAAAGACAAACGAAAGGAAGACAATCATCAGGATGGTGGACCAGTTGCGAAACCAGGCGTGTTTCTTATCCGGTGGTGGTACGTAGATCGGTTTTAAGGGGCTGTACTCCTTCCGGTACTGGGTCTCATAGCCGCTGGTGAAATCGACCTCATCGTGAAACGTCCCCGGACCCGAGGTTCCAGCCTTTGTCTCATCCGTGTCCATCTCGAAACGAGCTCTCCGCTTGACTAAACAGCGATTCGCTGCTCTCCGCGTATTTTCACCGATTTTTTCTTTACCTTTTTTCTTGATTACCAATCAGTTGGGGTCTGCGTTATTATCGCCACGGCAGAAGGTGTTAATTGAGGCAACAACAAGGCAAACGGAGAACCGTCAAAAGCTGACAATCTTTTTTGTGTTGTTTGTGACTCAGATAAGATATCTTTATAAGTCTCAGAAAACCCATCAGAGAATAGAGAAGAAGAGACTAAGAGTGACAAGAAAATCACTTCTAAATAAGACATTGCAAAGAGAGATCACGGCCAAAAGACTTTATTGTTTTTCTAAACTTAAAAAAAAATTTTTAAATTTAAAATCTATTAATTCTGATAAGAAATCATTAGGAAAGAGGTTATTTATAAAGCTAAGCTTTAAAGTGTCACTCAATAAACTAATAGTCTTTAAAGTCTTTAAGATTTTTGTTGGATAACGTTTCAGCTCTCTTTAGGCTCTCTTAAGATGTGGTTTCAGTTATACGCTCTGATATTTTTGTTTTTTTTCCAAATACCCTTATAAAGAGCGCTACGAAATTTGTAATCGCATTTCAATAAATGTTTTAAATTTTCAAAGCTGTGAATAAAATTTATTCCATAAATATAATTGAGCTAAAGGCACCTATTTTATTTAATATGCCTACATTTTGTTTACCCATCATTTTTATTAATAAATAAAACAAATTCTTATTTTTGTCTTTGGGCTATTACATTTATGTAAAAATGGATAAAATATATATTTATTTAAATCCTTTTGTTGCGCAGTGTAGCCCTCTTAATTGAATTCGATTTCTTAGAAGACTTTTGAGTGCACATACTGCAGTCTTGTAAGATACGTGCTCTTTCTTGATTCTCAGTTTATCCAGAGCCTTAAAACTGAAAAGATCATAGGGAATCGAAACAGAATGAGGTATATTTCAAGGCTTATTGAAATACTTAAAAAATTAAAATGTGATCATTCTCATATTTTTAAGGGAAGACAAAAATGTTTTATTGGAAGAATCCAGCATCATTGAAATGGATCAACCTCTTCAAGAAAGTGACGAAGAACAATCCGAAATTGAAGTCGAAAGTGTTAATGAAGAAGAAGGAAGTCCTTATAGGTTTTTGCAAAACTGTAATTTTGTTGGTCTATGGATGTGCGTTCTGTATAACTTTATTATGATTTTGTTTATTGTGCTTGTATACGTTTATAAACGCTGAAATTGTAATTTTGAAACTAATCGAACCTAAGTCCCCTTTATTGCAGATAATATCTAGCTAAACTGAGCTAACTTTGTTTACATCAATGGAAAATGAAAGCCCTAAATGTACTTAAACTTTTCTCAATTTTATTGCGGCCAAACAATTTAAGTTGTTGACAAAGTCATCAGCATGCAGCAGGCAGCGGCTTTCGAAGAAATTGCAGCATCAGCAAAAAAATCTCAAATGAAGTTGCCTCTGTTGCATTTTTAGTTTCTTTCTTGTGCATCGAAAAAACTTTTATTTGTTGCAACTCTTGGTTTTTTGCGTTCAACAATTACGCAAATCATTCAGAGTCACTCGGCTTGATTTGGTGTTTATTTTTTTAATGATTATAATGATTTGTTTGAACAAATAGACACAGTAGAAGTTGAAATAATTTTATTATCATTTTTTTTAAATAATTTTTTAAATATTTTCTTTTATTGCCAATCGAAAAATGTTCAATTTTATAAACCTATTTAATGGGTAAACTTTACTGCCTATAAAGTGAAGCAATTTGTGAACTTTTATATCAACGCAGCTAATCTGATTGAGAAAAGCCATCGTATATTTAAGCTTGGCACGATTGTGGCCCAGTTTTGTGCACCTTGGCCAGGACTCATTATTCAAACCTAAGACGCAGATTAAAGTGAACGCGATAGAATGACTGGCGGAGTGAAAAATGCAAAGAAAGAATCAAAAATTCATGAGGCGGTGCGCGCGAATTATAGCGACTTACTTGATGGTTTAAAGGCGCTCTTACCACGGCTATTCAGCATTTTCCCCTGTTTGCCCGCCAACATGCGTTTGTTGTTGCAAACTTTTTCCATCAAAAGTTTCGGTTTTCGATACGCCTGCTGGTGGCAGCTCCCGATCCTGTTCCTCGTTCTCCATTCCGCTCCTGCTCCTACTTGAATTCCGCTCCAGCTTCAGCTGGGGAAAAGTGCCACTTCCGCTTTGCGTCAGTGCACACGGGTGCCGAGCACAAAAGTGTGACTGAAGTGGCTGCCACCGCCCACCGCCCGATTTTGCCACCCACATTGGCGGCCGCGGCCAGGGCTCAGGTGTTAATTAACTTGGGGGCCGGCACTAAATTTTAAAACTGCAACTTGCCCAAAATTAATGAGACTGACGTTTGTGCGAATTACACGAGCGGTGGAATTATAATTTTGCCTCATCGGACAAACTGCAGAAACGGCTAACTTTGAAGTGGTCAGAAAGGAGGGCCAGCCGGTCATGAATATTTAAGCATTGAGCCATCAAACTATTGGCTCCTTCTGTCACTTTAATAAGGTTACTTTATTTATATGAATAACTAGAAACATGCAAGCCAATTCCCTTTATAAAAATAAAAACGTATTAATTATGTAGGTTTTATTTTCAATAAAATGGTTAAAATAATTGGCATTAAGTAATATAGAAAATATCATAAATTAAACCTATGGAATATTTGTTCTCTTTATTAAAAGGAAATACAGAGTTTATTTTGACCATTATAAATGAAACTATAATGAGCGTATTAAGGACTTTACAATTTCAAGTGCCTGATAGCTTCTCATCTTTTCCTGGATGTTCGGTTAATAAAGTCATAAGCTAATTAAGATAGTGTTTGAAATTCACTTGCCGCTGAATTCTGTGTGCAATCGATCTTTGGGCGGTGTGTGTCAACAGGGAATGTTGGCCAACAACTCGGAGGATTAAGACGAGGACGAGAATGTGATGCCAAATAGCAGACGGCAAGTGAACTGTTGAGCTCAGTGCATGACACTAAATCAATTGGGCCAAGTGTCTGTTGTGACATATTCAACTAATGATGACGGATCAAGCATGCGGGGCACTAAGTCACTCACACATGGTCGCCAGTCGAAGGACGAAGGACGAAGGATGGAGACCGTAGTCCTGGCCTTGTCTTTGTGCGACACCGTAACTAATTTCCCTGCCGGTCGGTCACTTGTTGTCCCCTCTGCTAAGGACATTAAGTTCAGCTTGCAGGACAACTTGTCACGGACACTACACCATCTCGGCACCAACTCAGTTTACACGCCATGCCGGTGTCATCATTATTTATTAATTGCATTTAATGCTGATGCAAATTGTCCACTACTGAGGTCAGTGGCTCGACAAGTTTCTAAATCACTCTTTTGCTGCTGGTTTTTCGTAAACACTTACTGCAACTAATTGAATTTGGCCTGATCGTTTTATCTCATAAATTAGGCAAAATAATTTCGACATTATTTCATTTAGGAACATAAATAACACTGTGCAACATTTTTAGGGTTATAAAATGTAACCGCAATTCTGATTTCATTGGCGGAAAGAACTCATCGAAATAAGCTAAAACCCATTTGGGTTTCTTTGGCTTAGCTCGCGTTTACCTATTATAGCGAGTTAAAGTTTTACATACAAAATTTATTTGTAACGGCCATATCTTGTGAACCGATTAAAATTTTACTATCAAGTCTTCAGTGATTATGTAGCTATGAACCCAAGGAACAAAATTGACAAATGACTCTTGCGAAGACGTACACCTAGCGCGTTAAAAATCGAAAAATTAGGCAAATTTGTTTTTTAACGCGCTAGGTGCACTAGGTGCTAAGTGCGCAAGAGTCATTTGTCAATTTAGTTCCTTGGGTTCATAGCTACATAATCACTGAAGACTTGATAGTGAAATTTTAATCGGTTCACAAGATATGGCCGTTACAAATAAATTTTGTATGTAAAACTTTAACTCGCTATAAAAGGTAAACGCGAGCTAAGCCAGAGAAACCCAAATGGGTTTTAGCTTATTTCGATGAGTTCTTTCCGCCCATCAAATCAGAATTGCGGTTACATTTTTCATGTTGCACTGTGTAATTCAGCAGGCAAATTGTGGTTTGATTTTGTTTTTTTGGCATGAAATGTTGGATTTTAATTAACAAACTACAAAGAGAGGGGCCAAAATGTACAATATTCGTAAATATTTGCAAATAAATTATGGTAATTCATACAAAATTTTAATTGTAGTAGTAGGTAGTTTAATTTTTTTGTTTTATTTAATTTGTGCATTTATCTTATTGATTTAAATGAATTCAGCAACCCCAGGGGTTGTAAAAACATAACGTAATATATATTTTAACTTATCAAATTAGAAACTTATCAAAACACAAAAGCAATGCAAAAAAAGGAATCGACTGTCAAAAGAGTTCTTCATGTGGTAAATAGTTTTAAATATTTCACTGATTGCATAGAGTTTATTTGTAGACTAATTGCAGTCAGACGTCCTTATTTAATTGCAAATTACATTTGCTCTTTGCAGCATCCACAATCCGCTTACCCTCTAATGCTCATTAAACGCAATTAACTTTCCACACATTATTGGTTGGTTTTTCGCATAAAAAAGACCAGTTGAAAAAGTAAAAATACGTATGATTTTTTTAAGTGGTGACAAATTGGGCATGAAGATTGAAATTAATTTAAAGCTATTTTGACAGTTAATGTTTTCTCTTTGGATTGTTAGTTTATTAAATTAAGCAGGCATTAAGCGTGTCTGTGACGGGTATTTGGGTCATCGGTGGGAAAAGCAGCGAAAGGGCTGGAATTTAATTAAATGCGCGGATAAATTATGCAATATAATGGCAAATGCACTCGCACACTTGCATACGCAATCGCTGCCTTGGGCGCATTACGCATACGCATTACTCTGGCACTCGCATAATTATTTCCAAATATTAAATTCAGCCCCCGAAAAGTATGTGCCAGTCGCCGCTGTTGTTCTCATTCGTCCCCTTCTGCGACATTATTAATGCACTTTTTTCGGGAGTATGACCGGTCTTCTCGGGCACTACAATTATAACACAACACAATGTTATTGCTCTAAAATAGAGTGTTAATTCCTGTTAGCCATTTCTCTTGAAAATACGCTAACGACTTGCAGTAAATGTACCAAAAAAATTACTTACATGTAAAATAAATATATTTTAAAAATAATTAATAAAGCAAAATTTATTCCTCAAACACCACAGTCTGAACGATTTTTTTTTAGAATTATATTTATTCATTTGAAAATGCAATACTTGTGTTATAATAATTACCCATTCTCTTATATTTGAAAAGGGACCAAATCAAATAGTTAATAAGAAAACTCGTACAAAGTGTATTTTTCAGTCATATACACCCAATCAAAATAGATATGAAAGGATGATCAATTTGACATTATACGGTATACATTTTTACTTGATATGCTCGAAATGTAAGCAACATGTTCTAAGTAGTTAAATGCTATCACGCTCTATTTCGAATTAAGAGAATTAGTTCTTCTCGCTCCTACTGGTTGTCATTTTGCTTATTGCTCTATCTTTCGAAGTCAGAGAATCTCCAAGAGAGAAATCGGTATTTTTATTTAAACTTTAACATGCGAATATCGGTTTGATTTTGGCGTGTTTTAAACAATTTATTCCTGAACAATTTATCAAGAACTGCCGACGGAACAACTGCCGTGGCCACCGCACCGTTTGTTTGGCTGTCTGTGCGCCAAGAGGGCTGCTGGATGCGTTGGTAATGGTAATGGGCGTGTCACGGTTTCAATTTACATGGCTGCAGTTCACACGCATGTCCATAATTCGCACAAGAGCAACAATATTGCCATTGTGGCTGGTTGTTATTAGTGTTGTTGCCGCTGCCACTTTCCGTTTCTCGTTTGTTGCAAAACAGTTTGCACATTGTTGTCATTAAGGACAATCGCTGTTGTTGCCGCTCATCTGCGTGGTAATAATGCCATTGTTTATGTTGTTCCTGGCCTGGCATTAATATCACAGTAATTTCAATATTTAGTCAACCACTTCATAATGTGCGGCTTACTAATGATTATTAATTATTGTCGAATGTTTGCCATGATTTTGGCGCAGCTTATCCCTTGTGCGGTTTTGTTATAACTTGGTTAGCCACACACTAGGTGGTAATTACGGGTATAAGCCAATGCAGGTACAACTGGACACAAAAATGGGTTCTAAGGGCTCAAGCTGTGCTTTGTTGTTATTCGTCACCATCTGAAATTACCAAACTTTACCTGTATAATAGGTTAATTCAGCATCCGCACGTTTTCAGCACATTA